GATTGATTGTGCATTTTGTATCGTTTGTGTGTATACCTGCCCAGAGACTGCAGATGGAATCTAGCTGATCAGCTAAATCTGGTGCAATACATGCAATGCATGTATATTTTGTACATGGTCCCTGACAAGCTAAAATAAAATAAGCTAAACCAATAACAGCAGATCACTGGTTTTAATCATATGTTGGAAAACTGCAGGCCATATATTTTTTGGCCCCAGTAACTGCATTTATTGTAGAAGTTATTTGTGATAACTTGAAAGCAAAAGCGATTTTATTCAGAGTTTGATGTCTCTTTTTTGAATGCTTCTTTGGCTCAGATTCCCCTTAAAATGTTAACCTCCCCCCCACACTGCCCATCTTTGAACTGAGCAGGCTAGTTTTCAAGCTCAATTCAGTCGCTGCAGCTGTGTTATGAACAGGAATAGGGACAGGCACGCCTGCAGAGTGAAAGTGTCAGTGCATCTGCCTCACAGCTACATAACCAACGAGAAATATTGCAAACTTGTACCATGAGAACTGATGTAGTAACTCACTTCCCCCCTCCCTGATGAATCGGCACCCTTGTCATGCTCACAAAGCTGGACTGTCAGCGGGCTTTCACACTGATATTGTTAGTATGCAGACCATTCGACCGAGCCTATAGACATGGAAATGAAGTGGGGAGAGAGAGAGGGAAAGAAAAGAGAGAGATGGAGTAGGCTGTGTTGGCATGGCTTGGCCTCTGTCCAACACACACACACACACACACACACACTCACACTAATACACACAATGTCAAATACACAAGCATGGCCAGGGAATGGTCCAGGGTTTATCCAGATGGGATATTACTCAGATGTACAGCTTTATTCAAGGGGCTCATCGACTCTGACAACACTGTCAGGTCAACTAAAGGCCACCACCGGCCTGTGCTTAGAAAACAACCTAGGCAGTGTAATCACTGATTCGTACAAATGGAGGGTTTTGTTTTGGTAAATGGGGGATTTTCCTAAACTGTTATTCATGGGTTCAAAAGTTGCATCCAGGGACTACTGACTCTTGTAGTCTTATGTTGTAATCTTAACTCAGATTCCTGAAAGTAATGGGATCCATTAACAAAAGACCCAGAGGTTAATTGACTATTTGGTAAGTCCTGTCCATGTAATAGTTACTGTTGCTATTTTCATATATGTAGCTTCTGTTATCGCGTAGAACATATCCAGTTAACAATGATAGATATCAAAGGCTGATTATCCACAAGAAATGTTCGCTAGTTTTTGGATTGTAGAAATAGGATTGTTGTGGCAACATCCATGAATTCACGCTAGAAGACTGGGAAGCAGTTAGCTAGCAGTATTGCTAGCTAGTTTGCACTCTTGTTACATGTACGGGAAAATAAGGGATAATTGTATATTAACCTGTTATCCATCCTCTGTTTTGAAATATAGCTTCCAGAATAAACATAGAAAGACAAGAAACACAGACATACTTTACTGCTTTACTGTTTGGAACAGTATGTTTCTCTTTGAACATCATAAACTTTGAGGATTAGAACTAAATATAATGTAGTTTTGGTTGGCATATCAATGTGGTTACAGTGTCCCAGATCTGGACAGCTCTGCTCAAATTATTCTGAACTCTTGTAGTAGAATCCTAAACCCTGTGTATATAAGCCTACCATATACAACCCCGCAAGTAAATACTAGACTGGGGTCTAAATCATTAGAATATGACGATTCATCCTTCAAGTCAATTTAGCTAGTTTATAAAATCCTGCTCAGCTTTGAAACAATGATAGTGTTCCTACTGAAAGTCGTTAACTAAACATGCCGTGTTTTGCATTTTGGAAAGGATACATTTAAAAGACATGGAACTGCATAGTGACAACTTGGTGAGGGGAATACACCATGAGTACAGTTTTGTTTCCCATTTTATCCATTTGCAGCAGGTCACCCCCTCCTCTATTTCCCCAGGTTTTCTATCTTTCTCCACTATCCCTATCAAAAAGCAAAACATTTAATAAAAATGAATCTACCCCAAACTGTTAAGGTATCAGGTATTCCCACCTACCTATTTGAACTACTTCAACATGTGGACAAATCCAAAACTTGAGATCTCATCTGACAATTTACAGTTAGGCTACTAAACTTAGATTAAGCTGGTTATAAAACTCGACTCAGTTCCATACCAGCATAGACCAACAAGTCTAGAATTGAGACCTGATTTAGGCCTGACATTGAATAATCTGGTCTCACTGATCTGGATTTTGCATTATCAGGCCTGCACGAACACCACATGGAAGAGAGAAAGATCAAACTTACAGGACCTCCATCCCACTCCTTTCTGACACACTTTATATGTAAAGCTCTGTCCTAAAAACTTTGCCCCAAATATACGCATTGTGTTCTCATAACCCAGATCTACTTTAGTGTTATGGCAATTCTGAAAAAAAGGTCTCAACCTCCATATTAAACCGACTATTTTGAGCCACATTTTCAAAGTCAAAGAGCTGATCGAGATGTAGCCCAATTACTCAACAAGGCTGGAATACGACGAAGTCGTCTTGTTCATCGACTTTCTCTCTCCTCTGCTGGGGTGTGACCTTTGACAGAGGCACATACTCCAGCTTTCCACAGTCTGGAGCCAAGTGCTCAAAGTCAGAGCAGAGTGTTTGTTTTGGACGCTGCTTAGGCAAGAAAGAACTGGATAATGGGGGTGGGGAGTGAGGGGGTTGGTTCAGACAGAGAGGCCACCTTGACCAACAGGCAGACAGATAGATAGATAGATAGATAGATAGATAGATAGATAGATAGATAGATGGATGGATGAAAAGTATGCTGGGGCCACTTTGACACTGTTTGTTTATCTTTGAGGCAGAGCAAGAAGACCCAATTATGTAACTCCAACAAACCAGACAGCAGGCTGCCCTGTTTAAGAATAATAATAATAAGACAGAAAAAGAAAGGCTAGTCAGAGAAACAGCTGTGTCTGGGTATATTTTTCTTCTGACTAATGTTCACCCACCAAAACAATTATAATGTTAATGCTTCTAATAAAAAAAATAAAAATAAAAAACAGTCCACCATATATTTTATGAGACTTTCCTGCACAGTGCATTAATAACTTGAATGATTAAATTAGAGAGAGCCAGGATAATAAATCAACATTTTTCTTCAATGAACTATCATGAGAAGCTAAGCCCTTAAGCCCTATTGATTAGTTGATGTCAAAGCAGAATTGATTTTCTTTCCCTCCTAGAAAATCTTATCACAGGAAGTTGATCAATAATCATCACTCGTTTATTGAAAGAAAAGAGCCATACCACACATCTTAAAACCAACCGGTTATTTTATCCACTGCCTCAAGAAGTTATCAAATACAGCAGTTTGTTTTGAAGTTTATAAAAGCAAACTCATTTAATATTGACTTACCAATCTCAGCGCTGCAGAATAGCTGCTGTGGGTGAGCTGGGTTGCAGCTACATCCCTCCACGACTTCCTCCATGCCTGCACCAAGCAAAAGGAGCACCCAGAGCCCCAGACATGCACTCCGCTCCTGGGACAAGGCCATGATGACTCTGGCAGCCTCTGACTCTCGCTCCTCCACTTGATAAACACTCAGCAGCCTCTTCTGATCCTTTCAAGATCCGGAGGAATACAAATCAGACCGGCAGTGAGCAATGGACAACAGTAGAGCTGGAGTAGTGAGATGAGCTCTGCTGAGCAGGAAGGCAGCTGTGGATAGAAATTTTTTCATAAGTTTAGTCTGAAATCAGGCCGAAGCAAATTACTTGAAGCTGCTGTTGCTGCCCTCTCCCTCTGTCCCTCTCTCTCTCTTTCTGAGGACAGCACACAGAGAAACTTACAAAAGCTGGATCCCCTCACACTCTGGTCTTGAATGCTGAGAGGGTCGCACACAGGGAGCCTCTTATGTACTCAACAATTTAGGGACAGCCTCCTCAAAGGCTGGAAAAAAAAATGCCATCCTTTGCCTCTTCTTGTACCCTCTTTTGATGTCCTCCCTCTTCTCCTATTGGCTGCTGCTAGTGTATTCATGCAGTTAGTCATCACATTATGACTGATTAAAGTACCCACCCACGCAATGCTTTTAAAATCATTCTGCACAAGTTTTTTTTATTTTTTTTATTCAGAATGTTTATTAGTGCATTTCAGATGCAGCTTGTTTGATCGTCAGTCTAACATCTGAGTCATAAATGCAGGAGTTGATTTTGAGAGGTACTATTGGAAAGGGAACAGTGATACATTTGATTGAAAACACAACATCTGAAGCAAATCTTTCAAAGAATAATAAATGTAAAACGATACCATTTATCCCCAGAGAACAATCACTAACCACTTTCATTTTCCTCAGCTTTAAGTGTCTGTTAGCTCATTTTCTGCCCTTATTTTAGTGTTCTAGCTAACCCTCAATGCTTTCATCAATAGCAGCAGGTGTTGATTCCAGTCCCAGCACCAAATACAAGACTAATGGAGTTAGCAACTAGCACTCTTACATAGCACACCAATTAATTAGTGTGTAAAGAGCTTATATTTCTTCCATGACAACAGAATTGACAAATATTTGTGTGCACAGCTTATTGTGCCCCCCCCCCACCCAAGTAGCCAACAAATATGTAAAGGTAATTAGAACGGAAGATGTTGGTATGTAGGTGTGATAATTGCACTTTTTCACATTTTTTTTTTTTTTTTTTGTGTGTTAAGTTGTTTGTTTTGTTACTCTTAAAATAAAATAAAAATATTAAAAGTAATTACGGTTTTAAAACATCATTGCAGGCCTTTTAGAGATATAAGTCACTGTTTTATACAAAATATTGTAATTTATGCAGGGCCCGATTATTACAGCCTAACTACACAGATCTGTTTATCCTTGCCCATTGTACTCGTAAATATTCTTTCTCCTCAGAGTCATGTGTCATGTGTGTTGATATGCTGATATCTTGGTCATTGTTGTCTGTATTGCTCATCACTATTCATAATTTCTTAATTCTGTTGATTTTCAGATCACTACACCAAGTTTCCCAGTGGTGGTGAAGATTGGACACGCCCACTCTGGAATGGGGAAGGTAATGTTGTTTCTTCCTTCTAATAAACTATCTATGCAGCACCCATGGGAAAAGATACTAATTTCACAGATACTTTACTAACTTAATGTTCTGTATTGAGCTTACTACATGAGAGATTAAAGTCCAGGAATGAACAAACAGCAGTTTTGATGAAATGATACAAACATTCACAGGGTTGTCTTGTGAATAAAGAAAACAAATCGGCTGACATCATTAAAATGTTTCACATCACAACATGAATCTTGGTTGTTCAGGCAACTGCCTCAAAGTCACTTAGATGCCCTGTAGCGATAACAATTTGAATTGGCCTGACCTGATTCACGTCAGCTGGAAATCAATCTGTCTCTTGCAGAGTCTCCTTTTTTAAAATCTAATTCAGGTATTACTAAAGTGGTTAAAACAGCTGCACGGACTGAAGCCCACCCTTACACTGACATGTCATATAACAAACTGACTTTAGAAAATACGTTAGAATATGTACTTTGAGATATCTGCAACACATTAACCACCACTCTTTCTACTGTGTTAGGCTTTCTCTGATTTACATTGTATTTGATTCTTGATACTCAAATGTCACTCTTTCATTTTTCATTTCCTCCTATCATTACTGCAACACATCACTTTTCATTCTCCTACACTCCTCATTTTCTCCTGAAATTGATTTACAAGTGTGCTCTTTTTACGGCTTCACATTGATTCACCCGTCAATTCCCAAAGGCTGAACTATCTGCCGTTGTGTTTTCACTCTGTGCCTTTTGTCCTGTTAACCCACTGTACCATCTACTCTATCACAGGCCTGTTCTTTTCTACAGTTTTAGCTCGTGTATTAATCCAACTTCAAGTGTTTCACTGCTGTTGTTGCTTGGATTAAAAAAAAGGATTAGTTCAAGAAGAAACAGTTCAAGGGTCAAAGTCACCACCACATGTTTTACTCCATATTGACTCATGCTGTTTATGAGGTCTGCATTAGCCCATTGAGAATATAACAGTATTCTGGCACTACAATTGAAAATCACAGGAGCAATGGATCACTGACGAACAGCATCCCAAACTATTTTCTTTATGTAATTCCTTTGTACGTGTTTAAGTAAAAAGGGTTTATATGTTTACTGCTGAGAGTAAGACAAAAAGATTACCACTCTCATATCTGTGCACCAAAATGAAGTTTGATGCAGCAGCTAATTAGCATAGCGTGAAGAAGAAGCTAACTCAGAAGTGACAGTAATGATAAAGGGTTGTTTTTGCACTATGATACTGTATGTGGTAAATACACGTTTACATTGAAATATCATGCAAAGCTTTACTGAGTGTTTGGTTTATTAAGCACCGATTTAGCACCAACAGAAAACTGCTATTGACCTTTGTAAACATAAAAACAAATACATGCTATGCTAATGCTTCTGCTAATTAAGTATCCAAACCTTACTTTGTTTTACAAATGTTTTTTTTTCCCTTATAGGTCAAAGTGGACAATGTGAGTGACTTCCAGGATATTGCCAGTGTGGTGGCCATCACTCAGACCTACTGCACTACAGAGCCATTTGTAGACGCCAAGTATGACATACGGGTCCAGAAAATCGGTGCAGACTACAAAGCATACATGTAACTATTGTTCTTGTTTATGTGTTGGTTTGAGGGATGCACGTTCTTTCATGCAGATTGGGTTAATGTGTGTATGCTGGGGATTGTGTATATTTGCTTTAGTAGAACATAGAAGCATGAAATCTTAACTTCTGAAATGCATGGTTGTTTTTTTCAAAATGCCTGCCAACCTGGTGTCTCTTTCAGAAGAAGTGGTATCATGTGGTAAAGTCAACATATTTCTTGCACCAGTAGCATCCTCTAGGAATTCAGTCAAGAAACGCTTGTTGTCAAAACCATCCAATACCTAAGGCTCATCCTGGTGCAATGACAGTAAACTTCATAGTCTGTCACCTTTTTTACAGTTCATTGTTAGCAAAGCAACAAATACTAGTTATTGGAGTGCTATTTTGAGGAATAAATGTATCAGAAAGGCAGTAGTTGAAGGTCTCTGTCCTCCACGCTGGCTGTGAGTAAACCTGTGCAGTCACAGTAAAAAAACAACACTCCTCCAGCCACAAGGTTATCTGAATCTCTCTTCTCTGTTTTTATCATTTCTACACATGAAGGTTGGTGTCTGCAATAATTTAACACACAATTTCCTCTTCTTTTCCAGGCGGACTTCTATCTCTGGTAATTGGAAGAGCAACACCGGATCTGCCATGTTGGAACAAGTAGCCATGACTGACAAGTGAGCACCGATCCCACATTAGTGACGCTCAGGCTGTCCTGGTGTCGCACATGTCCTTGTGTTATGTCACAGTTAGTCACAATGTGCTCACAGAGCAGAATCATTCAGCTGAATCAAATTCTATTTTTCTGTGGAGTGATGCGTCACTGCTTTTTTATATGGGTCTTCTTTGCTCGTGTAGAAAGAGGGGAAAAGCTGTGGATTCGGTTTGGTTTGCGATAACAGAGGGTATTACCTGAATACTATTGGAAACATTTCCTGGGTTGATTGAAAATCTTAACACCTTCTGAACACATTTTCAACTTTCACAGCAAGGAGAGCACAGCTGTAATGTATTATTAATCAATGCATGATTCACCGACATTGCTTACATAGTGGTGTTAAATTAGCAACTTTTTTTTTTGCTTTGAAAACGACCTATCAGCAGATGTGGGCAGCATTGCATGATTTGTTATGACAATCATCAGTATGGAGCACCACTAAACGAGGACTCAGAATTGATGCTTAAAGACTTACCCGATGTTTATTTACAGCTCACTTTGTTAATCTCTCGTCACATTAATCTTTCATGTACACAACCACAAAATGAGGTTAAGTCAACAGGCAGTCTTTTCATTCATTAACATATCCCCCAAAATGTACATAGAAGCAAGGAAAAGCAGGTCTGGGACAGAAAGTGGAAACATTGATTTTAAGCCTTAGATTTTTGAACGAAAAATCATGTTTGGTGTACTTGACACTATTCAAAAATTGCAGAGTTAACAGTATTGATGTGCTGGGTTTTGCCTTAGGTGTTCTGTTTTCCCAGACAGCAAGTCAATGGATCTCTTTATAGATGCTGGTGCAGCAAACCAGGGAAGCTCTATAACTTATATCCGCTACAACCAACCAAGCCTACGGATAGAGACGTTCTGTTACAGGTTGACTGTCAGGATAAATACCCTGCAGAGCATTGTTTGCACTCACATGCAGTGCTAAGGTGGGTCGTACGTCAATATTATTGAAAAAGAAAAGCCCAAGACTAAAACTTTTTCTTTTTTTATTTACCGTACCAGACAGGAAAGTTTTCATTTCCAGGTTGTTTACATGTAAAATAAAAGTTTAAAAAAAAAAAAAAAAAAAAAACACCCACAACTTTACTTGACCCACCTCAAGGGCCGACTGCACCTGTGTTTTACTGCAAGCAGATTATGACTCTTTGTAAACTTGGACCCATCTTCTCTCTGTGACAGGTATAAGCTGTGGGTTGATGCCTGCTCCGAGATCTTTGGAGGGCTGGATATTTGTGCCGTCAAAGCCATCTGTGGAAAAGATGGTAATGACTACATAACTGAGGTGAGATGGATACAAAAAATTCATAATTGATCCTGTGATCAACCAAATAGCACCCACCAGACAGGTCCAACAACAAAATAGTAGCTTGTAGTTACAGCTGCTGTATTATCACTGAATAGCTGCATTTATTGACTATTGCCTTTTGTTTGAAAACTCTGTCGACATCAGCCTGTGGGAGTTGTTCATCATGAGAGTATTAATAAGGTCTTGGAGTCTTTAAATTTAGCCTGTCTGGCCTAATTCACACTGCTGGGGACTTTGATTGTCTTGATGGGAAGAAACTGATTGAACCTAACTTTGATACACTTCTTGAGTTTGCTAACATCTTTATGTCCACAGCAGTATTTCAGGAGTAGTATCTGATTCCTATGATTCCATCATTGCTGGAAAAACTGTTTCAGAAGGAAGCTTTCAAATCCAGTGGGAAGTTACACAGAATATGATGACAGTCAGATCGGGAACTTTTTACTATGCAGTGGGAAAGCTGCTGTCAGTTCAGGCCAGAGGCAATAAAAAGCATGTCCCAAATGTAAACACTGTGAAACAACTTGTAGAGTTAAAGCTGAATACAAAGGGTCTTGGGTGGGCAACCAAACTCATCGTGCAAGGTGCAACATAGAGCTGACATGTATTTTCTGAAGCAAGGTGAATACCCTAGGCAGTGAAGAGGCAATGATGGCTTTTCAGGTGGGCAGGACTAAGAAAATAGAGTGAACCAGGCTTTGGATGAGGAAAACACATAGGTTGAAGAATAGAAATAGGCTTGAGACCATGCACAGGCTCGAATGGTAAGATTCTTACTAAGATGGTGAGACAGGGTCGTTCTTGTACTAAGAGACTTAGACAAGGAGTCAGGTCAAAGCTCATACAGAGAGACTGGCCCAGACTCAGTCGGAAAGAGTGAGTCTGACAGAGAATGAATAGTTTGGCTGAATCCCATCCAGGTTCAGTAAAGTTGTGAACAAATTTTGACAGTCATGTTCAGGCTCAAGGAGAGACATGTATGGTAGACAGATGGGTTCAGGCAGTGCGAGAGAGAGACTGGTTCAGGCTCTGATAAAGATACATAAAGTTTTGGATGGAGAGTCAGGATAAGGTTAAGCCAGAGAGTTCACCTCAGACTGGAAGAGTTATTCAGGTTAAGGGTAAGATAAAGAGAAGGGATGAGGCACAAGAGACAAGACCAGGCAATGGAGAGCTAGGCAGTGGAATGACCCACCGAAAATACACTTGCAACCAGGTTTCCAGGGTCGATATAAACCCGAAAAACATGACAAGACTACAAATTATTCTTTCTGGGACCTGGGTTAGCTGTCAAGGAAGAGCGACGCAGAGCAGTTCTGTCTGACTTCACCCGTGAAGTGTCCTTTGGCAAATACTTCACCCTAACCCGAACCCCCAGCCTCTGTTATCAGTGCGTGAATGGGGTGAAAGTGGCATGTAGTGGAAAGAACTTTGGATGGTTGGAAGACAAAAGGTGGTATAAGAGTCATAAGAGTCAACATACCATACAGGTTGCCTTTCAAAAGGGCAGGCACTATCCAAAGGGGAAAAAGACTCAAGACAAGAGGGTCGCAAAGCAAGGAGAAGGCTGGCCTACAGGAAGGAAACTAAGGGAAGCTCTGGATGTAGCCAGGCAGGACCCCAAAGAAACTATAGAAAATGTGGGAGAAACTAATGAGGCCACAGGATTGAGCTGTTGAGTGGCAAACATTTCTGCCAGTTTAGGGAGCAACTTGAAGAGCCTGGGTTTGTAGGACACAAGCTGGAGTGCTCTAGAGAGTGCTGCTTCTCCCAGGATGCATTTTGGCTCTAAGTACACAGCCACTCAATGGTATGGGTCAATTCAGCATCCTCATCTACATAGAAAGCTGGGTTAACTGAGGTGATTTTTGTCAACATTCTGGTAGCTGGGAACGAATAGCCGGACTAGGATAGGATAGGATAAGATAGTACTTTATTGATCCCCAGAGGGGAAATTCGGGCGTTACAGCAGCACAGACAAGAAAGCTCAAATACACATTAAACAGAATAGATAAGATAAATAAAAATAAAAATAAAAAATGAAAACAGGGGGTATATACAGTACAAAATGAATGATGAAGTTAACTGGGGGGAATTGAGAATTGAGACAGTATTTGAAGAGAATGACAAGATAATGACTACACTGTAGATGGATGAACTGCACATATGATGAAAGACTATTGGAGATGAACTATCACTCAAACCAGGCAAACAAACCCAATGTTGTTGAGGTGACCAGCCAGTACTCAAACAGGTAGCACTTTTCAAGCTTGAAAGATTGGGAAACATGGCAACAATGATGAATTGGCAGAAACAAGTAGTAAACTGAGGTTGTATAGAGTAAATACAGAAGACAGGTTGATTAGCTAACTGGTAATAGCACAATAGCTAAAAAAAAAGATAATAGGTAAGGCATGAAATAGTTTTAACAGTTATAATTAGGAAATCTAAGGAGAGAGTCTGAGGCCGGAGAGGGAAATGATACAGAAGCCACAATGACACCAACACCAGTCACTGTGGTGTCCGAGGAAATGTTTCTAAACATCCCACTTACAACTGAAAATTGCCTGACTGTAAGAACAAATCTGTTGTTTGGTGAAAGAGGATTAAGATCCTTAAGAGGGGATACGTGAAAAACATCTTACCATGAGTTGTCTAAAAGGTAAAGTGCTTTAGATTATACAATGATCCAGTGCAATTGTGATGTTGATATCCATGTATATATATTATTTTTTTTGCTGCTGAAAATTATACAGCATTTGCTTTCCCAAAACCAAAGATGAATCACACATTTAAGAAGAAACAGGCAGCTCTGTTTACAAAGTGGGTTAAAAGTTTTCTTTTGTGTCATGATTTTCATTTGACTATTGTCCTCCTATGAGGATTGAAGGAAAACAGAAGAACAACAGTCCTTGCAATGCTAATGGCACCAAAACTGCATATGCCATAATAATTCCTAATAATATCCCTTTGAAACAATTTCCATAAAAGCAGACCAAGACAATCCATAATAAAATCATTTTGAACATAATTTAACACATCTAATCCAAACACATTTTTCACAAAGAATTGTGTAGATTTCAGCACACCTGAGACCCACAACAGAAGGGTTGCCTACTTTGCTGCTTAAGATCCGTGTTTTGTTTTTTATTCAAATAACTTTATTTATCCATTATGAACATAATTTGTGTAAAAGCATCAGTGCGTATACAGTGTACATACGTGATAGCACATCACCACACACACATAGCACAATCAACAGTAGTGAGTCATTCTCGTAAGACATGATTAATAATGCAACAATGCATGTCTCTTAAGCTTTTTCTGAACATTTTTTTTTTTGTCCAGGTTGTGGGTTCATCTATGCAGTTGATTGGTGATCACCAGGCAGAGGATCGCCAGCTCATCTCAGATGTGGTGCTGTCCAAGATGAGCCAGGCACTGTCTGCCCGGTCATCCAGTATTTCCCGTTCACCTGCTCGCTCCCCTCAAGGCCAGAAGGCTACTACTGTACAGCCCCAACAGGTAGAGGCTGTAGGACATGGCATGCAAACCCCTTGAAACCCAATTATTTGTAAACTGGCTTACTATAATGTGTGACTTCTTCTCGGAATTGAAGGAGAGGCCAGCTCTCAAAAGTCAAACCCACATTGTAAATGTGTGCAGAAAAATCCCTTAATTGTAGCCCTTCATGGTTAACTGTTTATTCTTTACCAAAACCAGCTTAACCATGTTAAATTCTCTTTCCCACTCTCTCTGTTTTTGTTTTTCTTTCTGTCTGTCTTTCTCCCACCCCCTCACTCTCTTTTTTTAAGAGTGCTGCCCTGAAGGAAGGAGTTCCAGATCCAAACAGGACCTCAGGCCAGCGTCCTCAACCTCAAGGTTGTCTGAACACTGCTCTCCATTGTAATACAAATGCTGCCACCACATGGCCAAAACATGCCTAAAAAAATCAAAATCAGTCTTGAGGCAGTTCTCTTGGACATCTTAAGACCAAGAAGTATAAAATGTAACAACATCTATGTTGAAAAAATGAAAACTAAAGGTGAATTTGCTTGCAGAAAATAAGCACAACAACCAAGGAACTACCATTGATCTGAAGCTTAAGATGTGGTGGTATCAGATTGGTATCAGTCTTCTCATTTAACTCTTTCCAGGAAAAGAAAATTGTGTTATGTCCAAATTAGCCTTAACTCTCACTTGAAGGTATAGTTGCACATTTTTATTGCATCAGTGTAATTCACTGGTATCATGGCCTTAAATGGTGTTGATATTAGTCATCATTGTAATACTATGGGTCCAAGAAGGGTCTTTCCATGTTAAACGTCTGACCTATACCACCTGAAATACCAAGTGAATTGTCAGCAAAGTGAACTTATGTTTCAGGTCGAATTTAATTGCAGCTGCAGCTTCTGTGCCAGTGTTGTGGTGTTACTGCTCAGGTCTGATATATTAAAACTACATGTGCCTACTTAAAGCAGAGTTAAAAACAGCACATGACATTGTCTATTATTTGTGAGGTTGTACTGTTTGTGTGGATGGGTTTGCTTGCTTATCCACTAATTATTTTTCTTTTCTTACTTTGCATGGATGTGACAAAACTGTGGTACTGAATGTTGTGTAATGTATTCGTTATCATTGTTTGAGGAGAACCAGCTTATTACATTTTTACAGGAATTGGTAGTTTCACATGTGACCACCAAGTTAAGGTGTTAAGATGACAAAGTGGGTTTGAATCTAACACCAATAATGCTTTTACAAAAGTTGCATGTGGCAGACATCGTATTTATAGATCTGTAGATCTTATTTTGTATGCATTTTTAAATGTGGATATCTTCTTAAATGTATGGTTCATGCCGACTGCGACTTCTTATCAGCCTATGAATGGTTCTTGTCTTCATTTACATTGTTATGGTGAAGACACACCTATTGCGATTAGTGACATTTCCTTCAGTCAAGCAACAAAGCCCCCTTCAAGATCAAATGTTTAATGAAGAACTGCTTGGGGTTGTTTGTTGATGTGAATTAACCTTTATTGTTCTGTGTTGTAATACCTGAGACAAGACAAAGTGGCATTAATACGGTACACAATACATGTTTATCTTGGCAACTGTTGAACTTGGATTCGTGATTCTTGGAAAGTTAAAAAAAAAAGAAGCATTCATTTTTTAGTTTTGCATGATCATTCCTTATTTGCTTGGATCCAAACCACTAGATAATTGATATTTAGACACGATTTTCTATGGATATAAGCTTGCTGTAATGTAATAAAATAAAATGATTTAGTACAGGTCAAATACTTTACCAGTTGACTTGCGAGGCTGAAATGTCATTTTAGATTAAGCAGTCACACAATATAATCTAATAGCAGGGTTAGGGTTAGGGTTAGGGTTATGATATAATGTATATGAAAGCAAATACAATTAAAAAGATAGTTATTCACGGTTAGTGTCCAAGCAAATTCTTTGGCTTTATGTGCTGTGAGCCCCAAGCAACCAGTGGGATGTTTTATAGCAAAAACTGATAAAACGTAAGACTCATGGCAATTTAGCTGCCTCACTGTAATGGCTCTGAAAATGTCTGGGATGAATTTTCATGATGGTTCTATAAATGTGATTTTATGTCATTACATGACAAATGTCATTGAAATCCCCCAAATTTCTATTTGAATGTTTATAGTGAGGCTGAAACACTGAGTGACGTCAATAATAACATTTGCATACCCAACTATAATTTGGTATCCTGGGAGGTGAATAATCTGCCACTGGAAACTCATCCCTACCTAGTCGCTTGTCTTTTTGCCTCGCATGGGTTGCTTTACTGCCTCTGTTAACAGAGTTTTCTGATACCAGTATTATTTCTATACTGTACTATCTCTTCTTTTGTTCTTTTATTTTCTTTTAACCTCATCTTCCGCTCTTCTCATCTCACTGTGTCATTTTATGGTCACATGAGCTTTGGTGCATTACTAACACTTGGCATGAAAAGCTAGTAACCACACCCACAGTTTCTGTTGATCTGCTGCCCCCTGCTGGTAATTGCAGTCTAAACATTCACAGCCTGCTATGCCCCAGTCCCTAGTTGACAGATGAGTTTACAGATATAATGAATGTGAGACGTTCTTACTTGAATGGGCATGTCGAGCTCATTTTTTGTGTCATTTTCGGCTTTGGTCTTGGGATAGATTAACAGGTGCCTCATTTGTAACTGCTGCACAAGAGTGTAAAGAAAAATTATGCTTATTTATTTCCTTTAATGCTCCTTTTGTTTGTTGCTTCTCTTGTTTGAATGTGTTGTATAACCATGTTGCTTTATTCATAAACGGTTTTTGTCAATCTTTTTAGGTGCACCAATGAAGTCACAGAGTGTGGAACAATCATCAGAGTCAGCTAAGAGAGCATCTGACCCAATACCAAAGCCTGGCCAGGCCCAAAAACCTAGTCCAGGTCCAGCTCAGAAATCAGCTCAGGCTCAAAAGCCAAGCCAAGTCCAGAGGGCAGGTTCAGTAACAAAGCCTCCAGTGCCAAGGCCTCCTCCTCCAATGACAAGAGCCCCATCTGTTACAAAGCCAGCCTCAGGGCCTGCTTCCACCCCAGCCAAAGCTTCACCTACTTCCCCTGCTAAAACAGCAGCAGCCACAGCAGCTCCAGGCTCTCCCCCAACAAAAGCAGCAGCAGCAGCAGTAGCCCCAACTCCAAGCCCCCCTGCAGCCTCGGCCCCGGCTCCAGTCCCAGCCTCAGCTCCCACCACAGAGCAGCCCAAGCCCCAACCTCAGGGCTCCCCGTCCCCAGCTCCTGGCAAACCAAAAGAGCTGCCCCCAAAACCCACACCACCTGCAAAGCCCATCCCTCCTGTTCGCAGGAATTCAAAGCCGCAGCTTCAGCCAAAGCCACAAACCCCGCCTCCTCCCAAAGCTTTACCTAAACCCCAGTCTACTGTCCAAGCCCCAGCACCCATGCAGGCCTCAGATACTGCCTCAGCCCCTGCTCCAACACAGGTTCAGTCCCCAGCCAAAGCAAGCCAGCCCCCGCCAAATGTCCAGTCTCCAGCTAAACCTCAGCCCCAGGCTAAGCCACCCTCTCCTTCCCAAAACCCGGAGCCCGTCCAGGCTGAGGCAGCCGAAGCCTCCGAAGAGGCTGAGGCTTCTGGGGAAGAACAACCAGATTCCCAGCAAAAAACCCATCCTCTGCTGAAGTAAGAGCTATATTATCAACACACGGTTGATAATGCAAAGACATGCATTTAAATGGGTTAAACACTTTAGCCTAATTAAATATCAAATCCATTCATTTTGTTGTATTTTTAAGTTCTTTACTATTAATGTTGTTAAATTCCAATCATTCACATCACACATATAATGTTTTTGTTATGTTAAATATCTTCTTAAGTGTGTCAGTGTATCCTAAACTGTTAAAAAATACTGTTTATTGGGGTAGTTATTTTTACCGCTCATTAAAACAAGGTTCGTTACAACAAACTAAATTGTGGTTTGAGGAGATGCAGACTCTTTAAATGTATTTTACATGAATTTTCAAAAACTTTTACTCCTCCTGTGAAGTAGCCTATCCATTTCAGGAATTTGGTATAAAAACAGATTGTAAATAGAAAACATAAAATAAAGCATTATTAATTTACATATCTATAAATATATATATATATATATCTATACATTTATAAATATATGTCCAAAACATGTTATTATCTGTAGTTATACTTATACATAATTAGTAAGAACATAACAATGTCCTAATACCTTCTTACTACATTATAATTTTTCTCAACAGTTAACTATGTATTCAGTCAACCACTAATGGTGGAATTAAAGTGCAATGTTAACATTTTAGAATGTTTTCAAAGCTCGATGTAAGAATATTGTCTTTCTGAATTTTCGGCCCACTTACACATATCCCTGTTTGTCTTCTTTCCTTACTTTCCCCTTTATTTTATTCTATTATCTTCCCATATTCCTCTTCCATTTGCCCTTATTCCTCACTGCCACTCATCCTCTGTTCCCGCCCTCTTTGCCTGCTCCCACCTTTTCTTTTTTCCTCCATTTCCCTTCCTAGTAAGTCCCAGTCCCTGACCAATGCCTTCAACGCCTTCAGCGACTCTTCTTTCTTCCGTGGGGTCTCTAGCTCTGGAGGAGAAGTCCAAGAAGAAGCGAAGGCGGAGACCATTCGCAACCTCCGAAAGTCCTTTGCCAGCCTTTTCTCTGACTAGACACAGCCGAACCGTAGTTAGCCGCTTAATGATTCTGGCCACCCCTTTTACTATTGGCCAGTGATGACTTGACATTAAATGTGAACCAGTCTGAGATTAAACTTTGTGTGTTAACTGTACTGTATTCCCTCCGTCCCTTTCAGCTTCTCTGAGTGAGTAACAGTGAGGCATGCTGGGTAGGATGTTAAGTGAATGATGCTGTGCCAGAGTAATTAGACTGAAGGAGTTACGTCATTGATAAAGACTGGAACAGAATAGAATAACAAAAAAGTTTATTTTTCCCAGAGCACACTTTAAGGAACACTTTCCAAAATACGATAAAGTTTAATATTTATGACTTTAGATGGAATGTACATACAGTATATAAATATAGATATATATATGTATACACACAGTATATAAACAGATACATCTAGAACTATACAGGGAGATAAGCCAATAAGACGAAGAAAAAAAAATCCAGGAGCACTTTTGATTAACTTTTGTCAGTGACATAACTCTTTCATTCAGTGGCTATATTCAGACACATTTAAAAAAAAAAAAAAATAGTTAGATAATGACATTTGATGGATTCTCACCAATGGATTCATTTTGGTGAAATGTTTTGAGTGGTGAAAAATGACTTCTCTTAATTGGTTGTTTCTGTGTTAATCCAGCCTTTGTGTCTCTGGTCCTTGGCTACAAACTACTGGGTTTGTATTTGCTGCCCCCACTTTTTTTTTTTGTCTACAAGCCTTGAAGACCAATGTTGTGTGAGGGAGTTTGAAATATGTGTGTGTTGTTCATCTGTGTTTAATCGTTACGCATGGCTCCTCCCAAGTGGCTCGGTTTGACTTTTGGAGCAAACGGAAGCTCTATCAGTGTTGAGTTTTCCCTCCGTTGCCTAACTCTCTCTCTCTCTCTCTCTCTCTTTCTCTCTCTCTCTCTCTCTCTCTAGATGTTGTAGCCTTATTGTGAACATGTTTTCAATTTGCAGCTACGTTTGTTAGCTGTTCAGACTTGGGTCAATTACAAAGTGGAATTCATTCATTTACCTCAAGTGTTTAAATGGGAACAGCACTATGGGGGACAAGATTGAATGCAGCTGTTATATATTAGAAGCATTGGGATTGGGCGCAATGTGCGACGCCGAATAAATCAATCCTACAGAGTAATTGAATGCATTTCAAAGAGTATAAAGACTCATGTCTGTAGCTGTGACTGGTGATCTTTTGTTTCACCTCTGTGTAGATCTATCAACAGTATTGTAATTTGTTGGTTATTCTCATGAAAAGACATTGAGACAGTAGTGCAATAACACCTCGACGTGACTGTTGAGCGCTGTCACCCTATGAATATAAATATGATCATACATACAGGATCTGTGTATCTGTTAACTACCTTATTCTAACATTCCCTTTAAGGTTCCTTTCAATGGTGACTTTCAAGGTTGCTTTTAAGTGCAGTAAGAAGCTGGGGTTTCAGATTAATACGGCGCATCAAACGTCTGGTTTATCTGAATATTCCTCTTTGTATTGTTGGGTGTGAAGTTAAGGAAAACTGGAATGAACTTTGTCAGTTGACTGGTCATTTTCCGTTGAGTTGCTGCATTCAAGTTCATAAAAGTAAAATAAAAAATAAAAATAAAAAAAGAATCTCACCAATTAACAACCGCATATCAACCAGTCTGCTTATCCCTTTTCCAATACTACGTTGCAAGTGAATTATAACATTGTATTTGTATGTATTTATGTGTTATCTCAGGAGTTTATTTTTTGTAATATATTGATCGACGGATTTATTTTTTTGAGGCTCCATATTTATGGTACAGTGTATATTGTTTGTTTTGTATTGTGTTTGTAACGCAATACTGCTTTGCATGATCTGGTGACCAATCGTTTTTTTTCTGTACAGATTAAAGTTAATAAAGATGTGGTTCCATCATTCCACCGATCCACTAAGTTTCATGCTGCTGGCTGTCTTGTTTCTTTATAGAATCCTTGACATTTGTGATCAGTTTAAGACTATTATTGATGATCGTCCTCACAGTCTGTGAAAGCACTTTCAGGATGTCTGCTGTGGCTTTGGGGGAGCGTTGTCAAAGAATAACCATGATGGTAAATGTAGAATAGGGTGTTAGTCCTAAACATTTGTTAAACATTGGCCTCTTGTGGTTCAGTTTAGCTTATTCTGCTACCAAAATTTCTTTCACAAGGCCGACACTAGTAAATGGAAGTTCTACACCAAAACACTAGACTAGCATGATAAGATGGTAATGAGACGTTTAAAGATACAAGAGCTCTTCGAGGAACTGCTAAAAGAAAGCTAGGTCACAAACTGAAATTCTACGTCAACCAAACAACAGCCTTGGTTCCAATATTTTTTTATAAATAACACACGTCTTAAGATTCCCAGACTACTAACTTGTACAGAGACCTGATTAGCAATGATTATGGTCTTCAAAATCAGTCACCACTGTATGGAAGGATCCATAACTGGACAGTGATTACAAGTGTAGTATGTTTCATCAATCAACAAAGGGAACGCTTTTATCTTCATCCAACATTTGTAGTATTAATCATTTGCTCCAGGTTTCAATACACCATCTATATACCACTGTAACTTTTGCTGCTTTGCTAAAGTGCTCATGATGGATAGGCCAGATCTTTGTAACATAGTAATAAGTAAGGTCTTTTACCTGCTTTTTGTAATGTTAACAGACAAAGAGAAAGGTATTTTACCTGCTTTTTGTAAAGTGTCTTGAGATAACACTTGTTATGAGTTGACGCTATACAAATAAAAATTTATTGATTGATATATTCATGAATTGCACTATTGACCTCTGATTAACAGAGACACAAAAAGGTAATGGCTATGGTATTACCTTGGTATGGTAAACACTATGAAACAGTAACACTAGCATTGAAATGGTTGGATTCTATTGTTTCTATTCCTATTGTTGTATGGTTTTTAGATTTAGCTGTTTTAAATAGCAAAATAGTCCTAAATCCCTATTCTTGCAGATTATTTTTTAAAAAAAGGGTGAAATACTGACAATTTGTCAGAGTTGATGATAAACCCAAAGAATCAGTTTTTGGAATGTAGTTTATTCTATCATTGATTCACTCAAGTTGTAAAGACACCATGTTTAAGTGTAAAAAAAAAAGTACAAGAATCCTTCACAACAGAATGAGAACAGAAGGAGTCGTTGGCACCAAAAGGCCATTGAGATGTGAACGTGTCAGACAAGACCTACAGTCTTGCTTTCCTGACAAAGGAGTGGTGGGTTGAACAACCCATGCTCAGCCAGCAGATGGCACTATGTGTGCATAAAATCTATGTGAGTATATTTGTAAACTACAAATCTTTGTGTTCAGGAATCTTTTGTGTTCACTGAATGATGAAGAATTTTATTAAGTGTGAAAATCTGTGTTTGAAGTTGAAATAATATTCATACTTCACTTTAGTGTCTCCTACTTTATTGACCTGTGGAGCTACTCATGACATAAACGATCTGATGTCAATATGGTCTGTATTTTTTTTATTTAAGGAGTCAATAGAGAGGGTTAAAAATGTCACCTGTAAAGATAATAATGATCGTTACTGTGCTGACATTGCCCTTTTCAAAACATCATCTATTAAAATACTTCACATAATAATTCACATTACCTTCAATTCTGACATACAAACTCACATTTATGATATGAACACTCAATTTGCTCTGAACGTCAGGAATCTGATGTTTTACCTGACTGCTTTAACTGTCATAATTATACAATACATGTACATAATTATATATGCATTATACAATTTATTTAAGCAGAGGTACAATATAAAATGTGTGGATAACATTGCTACTTCTGTTACATAAAATACAAAATTTACATGTGAAACACCACTTTCTTTTTTATTTAGACAAACTACGGGGGAAAAAAGTTAAGTATTTCAAAATAATACAAAACTGAAAAGGTTCAAGAGCTTTTCTTTTCAGTAATTCTGTAGCAAAGTATCATAATGTAAACGAATCATTGTCTAATAAAGATAGAAGAAGCATGCTCTACTGTGGGTTATCGATCAATAGGACAACCAGTTAGTGGAGTTGTGTGGGAAAATATCCATCTCATTGCTCATAGGAACATGGTAGTGGGCGATAAATGCACCAAAGCAAGCCTGCACCAGCCGATCCGTGTTTTTCTTGGAGCTCATGCTAATCTGCTAGAGCCAGGTTGAGAGTAAAAATATGTAGTGAAGGATAAATAGAACTATGATTAAATTCTATTAAAATTATGATATCCAGATTAAGTTCTTTAATCAAATATGTTTGAGGTTTACGGTAAATAATCAAGCATTTTTGGACAGCATTCTGGCGTTTAGCACCAATCGTGGAAGCTTGTGTTAGCAGATCACTTTTGAACAGCTTGCTGCTTTCCTATGACTGAAAAGGTTCCACTTTATAATAATTACAAATTCATGACAGTGTAGGAGTCTTGTGAAGATACATGATACTTTGAGGATGAACATGTTCAGATACATGAGCTCCTATCCCAAGAGACTTCACTGTACAAGCAATCGAAAAATATAGCTTTGCTCTGTTTGTGTCAGCACAACTCTCAGGGGTGCCATTTTTTTAGATCGGCACAACGATTGTATTCAAGGGAGGACTGCCTTGTAGAACTACTAGTGTATTTTGTCACTTTTCAAAATGTGATCACGAGCTCTCTTTTTGTATTTTAATACTTAATAAGAGATAAAATTTACTTTTATTTCAGCATAACTGTTAAATATTTCTCTAACCTTTTCCAAACTTTTTTTGAAGAAGCCGCTGAGTTCCTGCACAGAATAAATACAACAATCTCAGTTTAGTCCAAACAAATGACATTTTCCCTCCCAAAAGCAGAACAGGGAATTATGTTTGACCTAACATAACATTTATTTGGAATTATTAAAAAAATTAAATGTCAAACCCTGAGACATCCTTAATTTCATCAGGGTAAAAAATTGGAGATGTACCAGTATGACTATGCCAGTCTTGAGGAACACAGAGTCTGTGGGAGAAATCAGGACCCTCTTCCTCTTAACTAGCATTACACATGGTTTTATCATTAGATATAAATGAAAACATGTAATTGTAAGTAATGTAACTTAAATAACACTTTAATAAATTACATTTATTGTCAACTAAATAGTTAAACCTGAGTTACATCACATCGATTCTTATTGACAGTGAGTTTTCAAACAAACACATCAAGCTACATCCTATGATTGAGAGAACCCATAGCAGCAGAAATTACAGAGTCTTTATGTATTGTCTGAATAACTGAACAACAAAGTATTTTCTACCTACATGGATCTGTATTACTGGGGAGCAGACAGAAGGTCACTGGTCAAGTGACACTGACCAAAACAGGAACCTTTTTGTTTGTCATGGGCTGAGCTTTTTTGTTGTGGAACAGAAGTTTCTTCACTGGGCTGCTTTGTAACTTGTTGTGTCTACTGAAATCTGAACACCAAATCTGTATATTTGTCTTGAAAAATGTATCATTATGTCTCTTGTGATGCAACACTTTATTTAGAGAAAACTAGATGTGATATCAGGACAAGATTGTTGTTTAAAAGAATCACACCTGCTTTCAGAGCTGTCAATAGTAGATTTTAGTGTAAGGGTTAAAAATAGAGTGAGGTTTAGTTTGAGATTATTCTTAGGTCTTCAAACCATGAGCTACAAAGTCTTTTTCATCTGAAAATAAACTGGGTTACAAAGGCTCAGACATTCAATACACTATAGGCCTACATTCCTTGAAGTCTGCTAAGTAAATATGATTATGTGTCAAACTGTCTTTTAACTTCAGCAGGTTCATCTAGTCCAAAGAAACTGTCTTTTCAAGAGACTCAAAGCTAATTGGTCAAAATGTGTTCACTACTTGAAAGGTTACGTTTGTTTGCTTCAATGGAGTTCGGTGAGATGGTTAAAATGTCATGATTTGGTTTGTTTGATAGCCTATCTTATATAATTAGCTGGCTAGTGAATACTACTGGCCGAAGTCCAACAGAAACACATCACCATCTTCTTATAAATCAACCAATAATGTTGTATTAAGTTTCTTTAATCGTACAAAACTTCAAATGTTCAAAGCGAGGAAACAACATTTTATGCGAAAAAGAAGCAAGGTAAACTTTTTGAGTCTTTTTTGGTTGCTTGTGGCACAGCCTTCTGGTGCAGGTATGTGGTAGTGCATCTGCATCTGAATGAATTAGGACATGAATAACCTCATTTGTGACTTCCTGTGTGCAGGTAGATGATTGCTGTTAATCTTTGGACCTAACTTGTGTAGCTGTTTGTTGCTACTCTTACAGTATTGGTATGAGTTTACCTAAAGCTAACTGGCCGTGGGCAATAGCTAAGTTTGGACTATTTCATTAACATCACAAAGCTTTAAATTAAATTCATATAGACCACCAAATGAAATTCTAAATATTACACCAGATATATAATTATATGACCTTTGTAGTTCAAACGACTAGTTTACCCCAACAAAAAGAGTCTAGATAAAGTAGCTCAAAGCTTCAGGGTAATTTGATGCCTCTACGCGTGTCCTGGACGGAGAGAGAGGGAGGAGAGAGAGGCAGTAGAGACCGTCACAGCAGCTCTGCAGCATGACTACAAACCATTAGAGCAAACAGACCTGACCGCCTTGACAGACAGCGCACCTGTAGGCAATTTTCTAAGGCTGACACGTCAACTTTTTCAGAACCGAGGAGGACGACTGGACCCCAGACAGAAAGTGGTCTCTGACTACTGTGCGCTTTACAACATTGATCAGGTCAGTCACCTTCCGCTCGGCTCACTGTTCGCTGTCAGAGCTTTCGCTGCTGGTTGATGGTTAAGCCACTTTAAAAGTTATTAAATGGTCACCACGGAGTCCTGTCGTTGTGGCAATACGTCTGTCAGATGTTGCGACTTGTTGAGGTGAACAGTTAAAAGCGTGACAGACTACCAGTGGCAAATGGGGGGGGAGGCGATGGTGAAGGTGGGGGGTGCGGTCACAGGACTGACAACTGGCACACAGTCAGGTGTTGGTCCATAGTATGTCTGCAGGGCAACAGTGTGAGTTTGACATGCAAACACCAGGCAGAGATTTTAACCATCAAAGTGGTCACAACAGCTTAGGTGAGTACAGGAGACCATGATGTATGTCACGGCATCAGGGTTTGTAATGCTGTCTAATGTGGGAGGGCTACATTTGTGTGAACAAATGATTGTATAAGAAATATCCAGACTTGATATTTATGGTTAGAAATTCGATATATTTTCCCCCTTTTTTTTTTTTTTAATCATCTTCTACATGTGTGGTATTTGCTGATATTGCACAACAAGCGGGCAGTTTTTTTTGTTGTTGCATTGACTGGAAAGTCTTGGTTGTGACTCAGCAATTATGTGGACACAAGCCCACAGCTTAAATGTAGTTCTATGGAGGCTGATAGGAGCTGGCCTAATATGGTTTTATTACAATATAATACAGGCAATTGAAAATACTCACAAGGGCTTTGCCAACTGCGCACATAGTTTTCATAACAGTATTTGATGTCTTGTCTTATCACTTTGTATGATCTTCATGTCAGACATGTGATTAAGTGAAATCACAGGAAATAACTACTAATCTATTATGTAGAGATTATGAATGGGCTTAAACATTAATAGTACTTTCATAGTCAAGCTTAATGCAACTGTAGTGAGGCAGCTGCAAGTGGATGTAGCCATACTTAAACATATGTAAATAAATGCAAATTTATACTGTGATAGATTACCCGTTTAAGCAAATTTAAAGTCACATCCAGTTTTTTTTGAAGATTTGGGATCTTCAGATAGCTACCTGCTGAAAATGAACTATACTATATCAGAACAATATGTGTTCTTTGAGAGAAATACTGTTGTGTCTTGTAAAAAAAAACTCAATGACAATAAAAGTAGTGGAAATCAACAGCTCAAAACAAAAAAGCAAAGTATTACTTGGTAATGGTCAGGCAGAGCCATCTTGACTGTCAAGAATACCAAACTTAATGTAAGTTGTCTAATCATAATCCTAAATGATGACCTAAATCAAACTGATGCTATAAACTTTAAGGTGTCTTTCTGAATGACACTGTGGGTTGTCATGTAACATGGCCTCCTATAATTCCGGAAAACCTTTTGATAAAGTTTGTGTGGTCGAGAGACAAATTATTTTGGAGAAGTTAAAGAGAAGTAATACAAGTTCATTTATTTGTTTATGTTCGTCTAAATAAATGACACTCAACCCTTTCAGATTCATATTTTTTTATTTATTATCTATATTAATTTAGTTAAAAGAATCATGAGCCATTGAACCGAGTGTTTTGATATTTCTTGAGATTCTATCGTCAATGTTTTAGCAGCTCATTAAGATCTGTATCTTTTTTGTACAAAATGTTGAAAGTCTTGTTTAGCACAAAGATTATTTAAAGCAGTCGTAAGCAAGCTACTTGTAAATTGCAATGAGCTAAGCCTCCAGTTATTTTATATTATAAAAGCTCCCCCTAAAGAAATGAAGCTAACTTATAGGAACACTGCAAAACTAGCTCACTAACTTAAAGATTGTTTTTTAAACATTTAAACAAATTCATTAAAGTCAATATTTTCTCACTTATCAATAAAACTATTGTATAGATATGATATATATGATTTGGTTTAGTTATTTACAAATGTAAGCATTAAGCTCTACTTCATTGTTTTTTACACTTTGATCATTTCCCTCCTGGCTTTGTAGTTGTACTCTTTATAGTTTTTTTTTATATTATATTTACAAAAGGAATATTTCAAAGAAAATAGACAGTTAAACTACATTATCAGTCTTCATCTCTTCCCAGTTATATACATTTCTTTATATATATTTTTTATCATTATGTTATTTAGTTGTTTTTTGTTTTTTACCTCAACCAACAACAACAATTTCATTAATAACCTGCCAACTGGTAGTGAAAAAATATAGCTAGTGGTAGCAGTTAACTAGTTATTAGCTGGTGTTTACTGACTGAAGGAAAGAGGCATAGTTTGCTTAGTATCTGATAGATTGGTGAATCTTTGTAAATAAAAAGAAGAGTAGGGTCTAGACCTGTTTCTTTTTGGAGTGTCTTGAGATAATTTGTTATGAATTGGTGCTGTACACATAAAAATTGACTGATTGATTGATTGATGTGTTTATTGAGAAAATACCTAAATGTGTTTACTCAAATTTTAGTTGGATGTCTGTAAAGTTTAGATAATTTTCTTCACATAATGTTCACACTTGGTTCCTTGCCATCATCTATTAGTTTCTGACCTTCTGCCGTCTTTGGTCAATCAAAGTTAATCTTGTGTTTGTATGCTCCCCTGAAGCATGACTATCTAAGGCATTAGCCAAAAGGATTGGTGTGTTGAATTACTGTAATACAGAATTACTTTTATCACCACACTTACGCATTCTTGTATGGGCTGGCATCAATGACTGAGCAATCACACTACAGAAGAAGGGTCTGCTGCACTTCTTCCTTGGAAATGCTTGGAAATTAATGATTATGTGCATGTTACTGCGTGTTACTTGATTACTGTATTAAAAAAAGCAAAGCCCACGGTTTAATTCAGAAAACAAGTTCCAAACTCACTAGAAATGTAGACAAAGTAGTCACTCCACTACTTTTAACAACACTACTATGCAATTCTAGCTTTACAATGTATGTATATGATAAAAAAAATAAATCTCAGGAAAGCTAAATCTGTGCATTATTTGCTTAATCCTACATAACTGATGATGTTGAACCAGCACCAGTCGATAAATTGTTGCTTAACAAGTTGTATAATTCCTAAAGAGAGGTGTGTGTGTGTGTGTGTGTGTGTGTGTGCGTGTGCGTGTGCGTGTGCGCGTGTGCGTGTGTGCGTGTGCGTGTGTGCGTGTGTGTGCGTGTGTGTGTGTGTGCGTGCGCGCGTGCGTGTGCGTGTCTGTGTGCGTGTGTGTGCGCGCATGTGTGTGTGTGTGTGTGTGCGTGTGTGTGCGTGTGTGCGTGTGTGTGTGTGTGTGTGTGTGTGTGTGTGTGTGTGTGTGTGTGTGTGTGTGTGTGTGCGTGTGTGTGTGTGTGCGTGTGTGTGTGTGTGTATACTGTCTGTGTGTTTGTGTATAACTGTGAATGACTGAAACAGATTTGGACTTTGCACTGTTGTCATAAATGAAAGGAGTGTCTGAAGATACCACGCTATGTTTATATTGTCTTCGTACAACCCCAGAGTGATGTTTAACTTTCTGTAGACAACATATTTGCACACAAAGTTTGTTTTAGTTTGCGTAATTTGAAGACAAAATTCCAATCTCTAGTATTTGTGATAAATTCATTTTAAATACATAAAGCAACAGTTTCCTGTCTTCTGTGCAGTTGTTTTTGCAGTAGCTTCAAAAGTTATATATAAATTCTCCAATAGAGCTAAACATCATCACTGCATGAAAGGAAAGAAGGTGTTCGTATCCGCATGCTCTGGTACAGTTTACAGATTTTTTACCACCTTTGCCTCTTCACCATCAACATCCTGTTTTTTTTCTCCAGAAATTATTTCGCTTTTTTTGTTTTTGCTAATGTTAACATTTTCATAATAACATGGCATCGAGACAGTGTTAATTCATGTTAACCTTAAGATAAAATTCTTGTTTAGATAAGTTGTAATTATTTTTTTCTGATTGTTTTTCATCTTAAGTTGTTAATATTAACTTCAACTTCACTATCAGCTTGTTTTTTTTGCCTCAGAAGTACATTTATTGGTCATATAAAAGTGACACCACGTACAGAGGCTGAAGGGTTTGAATCCTACCTGTGGCTCCTTCCCCTCATATCATTCTCAACTCTATCTCCCTGATTTCAGACTCCATCCACTGTCCTTCTTGTAAAGGCATAAAAAGCCCCAAATTTTATATTTTGAATAACCTGACACACTAGCACATTGTTTGCTAATTAAAAATTAAACTCAGTAGATAATCCTTTGTTTCTCCCTCCTACAATATTCTCTATTCTTTCCTGTGAATATTATGACGTGTCTTCCTGGCTTCTTGTTTTTTTTACTGAGTATGTATACATTAATGAGGAGTAGGATTATATTGGAAATGTGTGTTTAGCAGGATCTTTTCAGCGTTTTATGGTTATAAGTCATTAAATGGATAATGGAGTTAAACAAATACATTTTTCTTAGTCTTATCCTTAGAGTACATCTTTTGTGACCCCCTGTATGCATTTCTCTCTCTCTCTCAACGTTGACAACATACATGTTGTGTATAGAAAAAGCTTCTATCACAACACCACGTGTCATCTGAGGAGTCTGTCCAATCCAAGTCCAGTCAGAGTAACATCATGGCATGTTTTCAGTTCTCAGCTCTTAATGCTTCGTATTGAATATAGTCCATGTCTAGGTGAGAAAACAACAATGCAAGTTGGGCCGCATGTCCAATATATTATTATATATTATATTTTTCAAAGTATTCAGCGTTTTCTCTCTTTATCTCTAAATATCTCTAGATATACACATATTGCCTCCAATCCACTCTGGCCTTTCCTAAAGCTAAGTTGTTTGCCTGCTCAGACAGGATTGCATGCTGTGTGGGACACATGTTAAGTCAATTTGAAGTTGCCCTTTTCATTAGTAAAGAAGTTACAGAAGCAGAAGTACAATTTTGATTCAGAATCTATTCTTCGATTCCAAACTCTTCTGAATTCTGAATTCTAAGTCTATTTTAGAATTAGTACATACTTTAGGATCTTCTCCAGTCATCTGTGAGTCATCTTGTTGCTC